CTTGTGCTCAAGGATAGTTAGGAATTGTAATTGTAACTGTATTGTAATTGTGTTCGGCTACAAGTAACACTGACACAAAGACCAGTGTCCTAAATTACTTGGATGGCCATTTAGGGTTAATATTATGACTTCCAGCTTTGCCTCTTTTCCATTTCAAGATTCACCTCATTATCACAAAGTAGCTGCTGTAGTTCAGCCATGACTTCCATATTCCAGGCAAGAAGACAGGAGCCACCTGTCAGCCACCTTTTTTTTTTTTTTAACATCTTTATTAGAGTATAATTGGTTTACAATAGTGTGTTAGTTTCTGCTTTATAACATAGTGAATCAGCTATACATTTACATATATCCCCATATCTCCTCCCTCTTGCGTCTCTTTCCCACCCTTCCTATCCCACCCCTCTAGGTGGTCACAAAGCACCGAGCTGATTTCCCTGTGCTATGCAGCTGCTTCCCACTTGCTATCTGTTTTACATTTGGTAGTGTATGTAAGTCCATGCCACTCTCTCACTTCGTCCCAGCTTACCCTTCCCCCTCCCCATGTCCTCAAGTCCATTCTCTACGTCTGCGTCTCTATTCCTGTCCTGCCCCTAAGTTCTCCTCCATAACCAATTTTTTTCTTTTTAGATTCCATATATATGTGTTAGCATATGGTATTTGTTTTTCTCTTTCCGACTTACTTCACTCTGTATGACAGACTCACCTTTTTAAGTAGCTTTTAAGTTCCAAAAGCCCCACCCAATAACTTCTGATTACATACAATTGACCAGAATTTAGTCTCTTGGCTACCCAAATATGTCAGGGAGGATAGGGAATAATTTTCCACTGCTGACTCATTATCCCCTCCAGAAAAAAAAAAAAAGCCATTCTGTTTTCAAGAAGAAGGAGAAAATAGTACTAGTAAGCACCCAGCAGTTTCTGCCACCAGTGCTTTTTAAGACCTGCCTTAGCCCTGTCTTTTGCTGCCATCCACTGTTCTAAGCACTTTTTACTGTAGCTCCACCAGAGCCGTGGTGCTCCCTGAGAACTCCCTTCATTGTCCTTCCCCATCCTTTGCTCATAGTTTGAAAGGCTTTGTCTCCCATCCCAACTATCTCTGCCTCTTACCTCTAAGGCGTTGCTCAGATCACATTTCCTTTTTTTTTTAACATCTTTATTGGAGTATAATTGCTTTACAGTGGTGTGTTAGTTTCTGCTTTATAACAAAGTGAATCAGTTATACATATACATATATCCCCATATCTCTTCCCTCTTGCGTCTCCCTCCCTCCCACCCTCCCTATCCCACCCCTCTAGGTGGTCACAAACCACCGAGCTGATCTCCCTGTGCTATGCGGCTGCTTCACACTAGCTGTCTATTTTACATTTGGTAGTGTATATATGTCCATACTACTCTCTCACTTTGTCACAGCCTACCCTTCCCCCTCCCCATATCTTTAAGTCCATTCTCTAGTAGGTCTGTGTCTTTATTCCCGTCTTACCCCTAGGTTCTTCATGACCTTTTTTTTTTTTCTTAGATTCCATATGTATGTGTTAGCATACGGTATTTGTTTTTCTCTTTCTGACTTACTTCACTCTGTATGACAGACTCTATGTCCATCCACCTCACTACAAATAACTCAATTTCGTTTCTTTTTACAGCGAGGAATATTCCGTTGTATATATGAGCCACATCTTCTTTATCCATTCATCTGTCAACGGACACTTAGGTTGCTTCCATGTCCTGGCTATTGTAAATAGAGCTGCAATGAACATTTTGGTACATGACTCTTTTTGACTTCAGTCACAGTTATGATCTGCCCCTCCCCCCGTCTTTTATCTCATCTCTCTATCATAGCCCTTGTTAGCTTTCAGCCAGTGTATTAAAGTTTCACAGTTAATTTTCAAATCCTCTGTGATTCCTTCATCACTCTCACTTGCCTAGCAGAATAATTGCGTGTATTAAATATTCAGTTCATGTTTATTGGACTGAACATCACATTGCAGACCTAATGCCAGCAAGATAATAGGAGATAGTCTTTTGTGCAACCGTTTTCAAAGGGTGTTCTTTATGTAAGAGAAAAAAAATTGGTTACATCAGCATTGTGAGTATCCTATTCCATTTAATACCTGTTGGCTAATATATAGGTCGTTGGTTACTTCAGTGAATAGTCTGTTGGGTAGACGTGCAAACAGCAGTTTGTTTGAAAATACTGGCTCCCTAAACATGTAAGAAACATTAACAGCCTGGGTCTCTTGGAATGAGGGCATTTGATGTGCCCCAGATTGGGGCACTCCACTGAGAACAAACAATGAGAAAGAGAGGGTGACAATAAAAACCTTTGTTCCTGAAGAGCACCTGAAAGTACTATAAGTGGATGCTCTTCAAGCTGGTCAGTGGGTCAAAAGGCAACACAGCCTGAGCGCCTCACATTTGTTTCATAAATAAACTTTTTCATGATTTTTAGTGGTACTTTCTAAACTTCTTTTTCATGTTTTTGAGATGTTTTCAAATTCCAATTATTTGGGGAGGTTATTACCTAGACTTGCATTTAATTATTTTGAGTGTTTACTTTTTTTTTCTTTTTTAATAATTTATTTTATTCAAGTGTAGTTGATATACTACTTTTTCTTTTTAAATATGGCCCTTTGGATGCCTCTGTGATAACTTGATTCATTCAGGTTGTATTCATATATAATTGTTAGAATTTATGCAACATCTTTTTTTAAGATTAAAGAAATTTCTTTCTAACTTGCATTTCTTGGTGATTGGGCCTGGAAATTACATAAAAGGTGGTTTATTTCTGGGACTTGCTTTTAAAACTGCGTATAAACCATCTACCAGGTATATAATTGACTGAAGCATAATACTGGAAGGCCTTCCTAGGTAGTGCATTTCTTCTCACAGATCTGAACAGAATTGTTTCCTGTTGAATGTCATGCCGTATCTAAAATCAGATTTTTATGAATTTCCCCATTGCATTTCTCTACCATTTATACTCTGCTCACCCTTTCTCTCTGCAAACTTTTGCATTAAATACCTACCGAGCAGCAGTAAGGATTAATCATGGTACAGGGTCCAGTTGGGGTGACAAATATACAGGTAGGAAAGGCCTGAAAGTAAGACTGGCAAATAAAGCCTGTGGAGTGCCAGGCGAGGGAAGGGTTGGTGAGAGTTGAATGAGGAAATGTAGAAAACACCAAAAATAACATGCACATCAGCTTCACAGGAGTGTTAGAGTTTTGAAGGGAATGTTTGAGAATTGTCCAAAAATGGGAGCATCTCCCAGAATGGAGAAGAGCATGGGCTAATGTGAGAGGGACTGGAGAACACAGGGTCACTGTTGACCCCACTCCACCTGGTCCTCAAGACCTGTCTGCTCTTCACTCAGGGGTTACTGAAGCCCATCCCTTCCTGTCCCAAGAACTAATCATGCCTTCTGCATGTCAGTTAGACTCCAGTCTATTCCACGTATCATCACCATGCTCACGTTCCCAGAGTTTTTATTTTATCAGGTAATCCTCCTGATGATGATGAAGTTTTCATTTATAGATAAAGTATATAATCCTCAATCTGAAATTTAGGGAACATCATCGTCTGGTACCGCTCACCTATGATTGCCCACCTCTTACTCTTCCCCCAGCATTTGCCCATCTCTTTAGCTTGACAGGCCTCCCCAGTGTTCTCTAAATAAATGATGGCCTGTTTGGCTCTACAGTTCTCTATGCCTTGGGTGGTCCGCTCTCTTCTCTGTCTCCCCTGGCTTCAAGATCCAACTCAAGATCTCTCCTTCAAGGTTTTCTGTGCAACTCTGTATGGATATGCTTGTGTGATGATTTCTTCCCGAATTTCATATGTGCCACCAATTTTGCTCATACATAAATATTGCCTTGAATTTAAAACATGATTGTTTTGTCTCTTCGTCTAGATTGTAAGCTCTATGAGACCAATGACCACACTATACAATTATTTTTCATCTATTTTAGTATCTGGTGTAGCACGATACGTATATTTGGTATAGAGCGATTTCTCAATCTGGCACCATCACGTTTTGGGCTGGATAATTTGTTTCTGTCAGGGGTTATCTGAGCATTGTAGGATGTTTAGCAGCATCCCAGTATTCTACCCACTAGATGCCAGTAGCACCCTCTTCCCAGCGTGACAATAAAAAATGTCTCCATTTGTGCTAAATGCCCCATACGCAGCAAAAATACCCCCTGCTGAGAATCGCGGTATAAACGGAATAAATTCTAACCAGTATCTTGGTAGGAATTGGAGACTGTGAAAAGATTTGAGTGATGATGATTTATAGCATTTTGGGGTCTTGAAGGAAGACAGACTCAGTTGATGGAAGACAGGAAATGTAAAATAGAACTTTCTATTTTCTGTGATAGGCTGTAGAAAGTGTATTATAGATTGATGAGCAATTACGATGCAACTTAAGGTTAAGAATGGGCAAAATGACAGAAGTATTCTTAAGTTGAGGTTTCAAAAATATTTAGTTTTAGTTTTTAATTCATTTTGAACCATTTTATTCTTGGAAATACCATTTCCAATAAAATATTATTTAATGGGAAATTTATTTGGAGTTCATACTTAACCAGTATCTTTGGATTAAGAAGTATGTTTTGAAGCATATTTGAGAAAATGATTTTGAAAGTATGGGTGCAGGTTATTATAAAGGGATAACTATTGACAAACATCAGTTGTGTTTATGCATAGTTTTCCAATTTTTCTTCTATTTGGCTATTTGAGTATTGTCCTCAAGTTTAGCAAAATTTTCAGCCCCAAGTAATACACCACACACACACACACACACACACACACACACAACACATGTGTGTGAGTCTGTAGTCTAGACAATGTTTACTGCTCCAGTACACAATGATATTGTATATTTCTATTACTCTATTGTAAGTTTTTAGTTTTTTCTTTTATTATAAAACTAGTACATGACGTAGATTCTACTTGGTTGACATGCTCCTGACCTAGAAATAATGCATGATATCCTTTTTTCACAGCTGTGTGCCAGCCACAGTGCAAACACGGTGAATGCATCGGACCAAACAAGTGCAAGTGTCATCCTGGATATGCCGGCAAAACCTGCAATCAAGGTAGGGAAACTGTGTGACACAAGTAAACAGTCACAAGCCCTCTCTACTCCTGCCTCATATAAAAATTTAAGTTCTCATGCAAACCACTTTTCTATAACTGTTGTCACCAAATATATGAGATGCCATTTTGCTGAAAGACAAAAATATAATAAGGGTAAATCTTTTAAAATCTGTTTAATCAGAGTGCAATTAAAATAATTTTATACTTTTATTCACTATTAATAATGAAAATGGATTTTGAAAAAGAGAATTGCAGCATCAGTAACCTTAGAAGCCTTACATTCTGCTTCTCCTTGTTCTTCCACTAACTAGTTGGGAAGCTTTGGCAAATTGATAGCCTCCTTGGATCTCTGTTAGATGAAAACACTTTAATACTCAGAGTCAGGTAGGAGGTTTGGCTTGAAATTTTGAGGTCCCTTCCAACTCTGAGCTCTTTGATCTTTGTGATTAAATTCCCTTCAACTGTTGACCAGTTTGTAATGTTCCTCTGAGAAGGATTTTGATTAACTTAGCAAGTTATTTTTAATTGGCGTCAGATGCTTATAAAAGCAAATCATTATTTAGCCCTCACAGTGCTTGGGTATTTTACATATATTATCTATTTTCATCACTACAATAGCATTAGGAGGTAGAGTGTTATTTATTATAATAAACTATAAATAATATTTCATTTTTCATTTGAAGAGACATCAGGGATATTCAGTGTCTTGTCCAAGTTCACAAAAGTAGTTGGTAAAAGATCTGCTGTGTCAACTTAGAGCAATTGTCTATATAACTCCTGTTCTTTCTACCAGTGTAGTTTTGGATGAAGAAAACGTCATTGGAAATGTGATCCTCTGACGCATGCTGCATTACAAGGCTGACAAGACTTGTCTTTTTCATTAATTTCAACCGAAAACTTTCTACCATTAGGTGTTAAAAAGAAAAATACAGAAATAAAGAAAAGATAGGGTTAGATTTCACTAGAAAGATGCAAGGAAAGAAGAGTAAAATTTTTCACTTATTCCTTAAAGTAATATTCCCTAGCATTTTAAATTTTTATTTATTTATTTGGCTGCGTTGGGTCTGCTTCTCTTGTTGTGGAGCACGGGTTCTACGGCACGTGCGCTTCAGTAGTTGTGGCTCATGGGCTTAGTTGCTCCGTGGCATGTGGGATCTTCCCGGACCAGACATCGAACCTGTGTCCCCTGCATTGGCAGGCGGATTCTTAACTACTGCACCACCAGGGAAGTCCTTTTCCTAGCATTTTAAATGTCAAATGAAAGAGTTATGTAGGGTCTAACTGTCCCATAGATACATAGTTGGCCTCACCTGATACAGAAATAATCTTGTTGAAATACTCTTATTCTTCAGTATCTGATACTCCTTTAAGTGTGTCATGTAAACTCATGATTTATAGACATAGTTTTCACAAGAATTAGGAACACTGAAATTTGAAAGTATATGTAATTGTTCCTGAACCAGATGAAATCCATGTTAGTAAAATGTGACGTGTCCAATGGTAGGACAAGCTGTTTATTCTAAAGTGTGTTCTTTAGTATCAGCTACTTGACTGATAGCTGATATTTTCCAAAGTTTCTTTTCTAATAATATATTTTTTTAACTTGGAATTTACCTAACATACGTGGGTAGTATTTTCAAAATAAGTGGGGTTCTTATTATCTCAGTTCACTCTTTTAAAAACCCATTTGATTTTTCCTCTCCAGTGTAAGTTCTCAAGTAGCAGCATGTTCAGTTCTGATTATTGAGTTGTCGGTGTTCATCTGAGAGTGCCAGCATGCTCCTTTTTTTTAAGTGCTGAACGTAAACCATCAAAGGTTCCCTTAATATGTCAACACCATAAAACTTTGTTGTCCTGATGCCAGGAATGTATACATAGAAGACTTATTAAAAGCAGCCACTGTTGAGATTGCAGAGAAATTCATTTACATTTATTTGCAGGAACTACCTCAACTTTAATGTGCTTCAGACACTAAAACTATCATTGGAACATGGATCCATCTCTGGGTATCTCTTATTTTCAGAAAACCAGTTTGCCATGTACTTTACCCTGCAATACATACCCATTTCTCTTAAGAAAAATATAATATACTGAGTTGAAATCTTGCCTCCCAAAACTAAATATAGTTAGGGGGAGGAGGATTTTATTAGTGGCAAAATGGGATTTGACACCTGTAAAAATAGTGCTGCCACTGAAGATGTAATTTCAGGTTCAGTCTTGAATATAAAATTCCAGTCCATATTAAACCTATGTGTTTTAATCATCTCTTTCTTTTCCTTCCTTACCATAAAAGCAATTGTGGCAAGTTCTTGATGGGAAGGTTTATGTTCTTTGAGAGCAGGAACCCTTTGTGGGGTCCCTCTGATTTCTAGGTTCCCGAAAACTTTTATCAAAATGATTTGCAGATGATAAGTGCACATTAAATATTTGCTTAGTGACTGTTTCATATAATGGCTTTTGGTCCTGAACACTATAGGAATGGGAAAGAATTCTATGGAGTTGTCTGGTATAGCTCCTTAGTCTCTGAATCGTGGACTATCTGTCAGAGTGAGAGAGGCAGCCAGGAGTGAGCCAGGTAAGTGGGAGAGCTGTCCAGAGACCCCCAGAAACGTTATTAGAGCAAATTGTCTGTATCTGCTATATAACAAATTAACTTAGACAGTTTTTTAGTCAGACCATACATTTTAATAAAATGGAAAACATGCCTCAGAGATATGGGAAGTCAAATATGTTTCTTTTTTTTTTTTTTTAAGCACAGAGGTTTTGGCGGCGGTGTTGTTTGTTTGTTTTGGGTTTTTTTGTTTGTTTGTTATTTTTTGGCAGGGCCACGAGGCATATGGGATCTTAGTTCCCTGTCTAGGGATCAAACCTGTGCCCCCTGCAGTGGAAGCGTGGGGTCTTAACCAATGGACAGTCAGGGAAGTCCCTAGTTTCTTTTTTCTTGAGGAGAGAAATGTTAAGAAGAGGTATACTTGAAATAGTTAATTTCCACAGAACTGGAAATTAACATTTGATTAAAAGTAGGTTTTGGTATAAGGCAAAAATTATATCCGCTAAAAATTGTGTTGCGAGCTGTGTGCTTTAGGAACTCACCCCCTGGGAACTTGCTTGGATGAGTGAACAGCTTGAGCAGATGAGTGCTTTCAGAGCTGCCTGGGGAACAGCAGGCATAGCAGGGCAGGCCCACTGTGGAACGGGCTTAAGTTAGCAGACTTGTTACAAGATTAGTGTGAATCTGCTGATGGTGACTTTTGCTTGCCTCTGAGTTATTCTCCGGATTTGCCATAGCCAGATCATGTATCAAATCATGGCCTTGGACTGACCATATTCTGTAAGGCACAAGGTACCTTTCGTGGTAGATGAAATTCTAACCTGAACCCTGGCAAGATTTGGTTTTTCCCACCTTACTTTCTCTGGTAATTTTTTTTTAAATAAATTTATTTATTTTATTTATTTTTATTTTTGGCTGCTTTGGGCCTTCGTTGCTGTACGCGGGCTTTCCCTCGTTGCGGCGAGCCGGGGCTACTCTTCATTGCGGTGCTCAGGCTTCTCATTTCAGTGGCTTCTCTTATTGCGGAGCACGGGCTCTAGGGGCGTGGGCTTCAGTAGTTGTGGCTCGTGAGCTCTAGAGCACAGGCTCAGTAGTTGTGGTGCACAGGCTTAGTTGCTCCGCGGCATGTAGGATCTTCCCAGGCCAGGGCTCAAACCCATGTCCTCTGCACTGGCAGGCAGATTCTTAACCACTGCGCCACCAGGGAAGCCCTCTGGTAATTTTAATTCATTCAGATTTCCCCCCTCCTTGAGTCTCTGTATCCATACAAATCTCCTCAGCTAAAAAGGGATACTATTATAGATAATAATCTTTTTCATAACTTTCCCATTAGAGAATAATTTGGGGTATGTAATATACCATATCATTGCATATTTTCAGGAATGAAAGATGTTCTTTTGAATTTACAGCATGCTTTATAATAATTTCAGAAGAAATAATTTATAAATATCAATTATTAATGTTTTGACATGGTTTATGTTTCACGTGTTGAATTCCTTACCCCAAGGAAAGAATCGGTATCTTATAGCACAGAACCAGACGGTAAACTTTGGTGAGCTAGTTAAGCCTCAGTTGATTGCTTTCCTTAGCACAATAGTCGAAGTGCTTTAACCCTAATATTAAGGGAGTTTCTTAAGGCCTTAGTGTTTGAATGATATGTGGTTTCAACCCCAGGAACCAATGTTCATTTAATTTGGAAGTTTACTGGCTGTTAATAATACGAAGTCTTGAAACAGGATGGGATTACCTCTTTGACTCTACTTTGGGTCTCACCCATCTTATAATATTTTGGTTGGGTAATAATGGCCACAGTTACCATTTTTTGCAGAAAGCATCTTATGTATATTCTTCTCTTTTTTTTTCCAGCTCCAGATATCTCAGTCCTATCCGTCTTTGCATGGGGTGTCTTATGTATATTCTAATTAAATGTGACCTAAATGTGACATAGTTCTTACACTTGAATTAAAACATCCATGATCTATTGTGTTATTTATTTAAATGAGATCTTTACGCAAATCATAAATTTATGCATAATTCTGGAGTGTTTTAAATTATTGGACAACACAATAATATAGGAAAAGATTTTAAATTGGTCCTATAAGACCTAGGTGTACCTAAACAGAGCAGGTTGATAATAATCCGTTTTTACATAATCTGTTGTTTTGAGTTTTCTGTCTGTGTTGATGACTAAAATCATCTTTTGAAAAAGGACCATCTCCTTTCTGGTGCTTAAAAAAATTGATATGAGGATGTACGTGGATGTTAACTTATAACGTTTGTGTGTTCTTGGGACACAAAATAGCAGTGATAAATTTTAAGGAACAGAAATTAAAATTAAAAAAGAGAAACCAGAAGAACTAGAAACTAATTTTTGTAAAGTATCTAAAGCATTCTTTTTGAACTCCACCAACTTTATGTAATTGTTTAATATACACTTATAAAGATTTTTAGGGCTAAAAATGACATCAGTTCAAAGTTGACTCTTATTACCTTCTTCCTGGTGTGAAGACGAACACTTGTACCCAACTCCTCTTGACCAAGGCAGTGAACAGCCTCTTTCACAACCCCTGGATCATCAAGCCACAAGTTTACCTTCAAGGGGTGAGCGTGCATTATCTCAGGTGGTCTGCTCCTCCCACCTGCACGGCTTCCTGCAGTGCTGTCACTTCTTGCCAATGTTCTGAAGACTCACCCCCGGAGTACCTAGTCCTCCACATTCCTGAGCATGTGAAGCAAGTAGCAGGAATTGGTGCTGATTCTCTGTGCTCTACAGCGCCTGGAGCCTCCACTGTCCTTTCCCTGCCTCAAGTATCCGTTGCTTTTCTTCTTCTTCTCTGGGTTTCAAAATGTTTTCTAAAAAATCAGATAACAAAATAACTTTTGTTTTCCTGTGTAGGTGAAGTCAGGAATTCCAAAGCACCTGAGATTGGGGTTTTGATGACTTTCGCTAAATAGATTTTAGAAGCGCTCAAGTCCTCACCCCCATTTGGGGTGTAGAGTTTTTAGGTCACTTGGAAATCAAACCATACATTAGCTTCCTTCTTTTGGTGAACATTTTGTGATACTAGAAAGCCTGAGTTCTGGTTCTAGCACGGCGCTGAAGTAGCTCAATGATTGAGAGCAAGTCTTAGCAAAACAGTTCGTAATAGAAGGAGAGTAACCCCTGCTCTCTTCACCTACAGGACTGGTGTGACAATAGAAACACCAAAAGTATTAATGTCATTAGGCTGGAAGATTTTGTAGAAAAATTAGGTGGCAGTATGACTCTACAGTATTTCTAAAAGACTTTATTCCTCACTCACTCATACATTTAGGAACTTAGAATGACTGAATTAAACTCATTTAAATTATCAATTACTGTTTCTGCTCATAGGGAGCTTGATGCATTTGGATCAAGAAATTAGGGCAATGGGATGAATTTCAGAATCATTGAAAATTTATTTTTTTTCTTTTAAAAAAATTTTTTATTGAAGTATATAATTAAAAATTTAAAGAGTAAAAGTTATGGCAGTTGACATATTGAGATCTGTTTGCCTGTGACCTCCACTTGAGTCAGATAAAATGTAAAAGCTTAGACTTCTGAGACATTGCACAGTTTAAGCCGCAAAGGGAAAAAAAATGGTCTAAATTACATTAAATGAATGAAAGATTATTTTCCTTAAAAATCCATTGGGTTATCATATCAATTAATCTCTTCCAGATTTTCAAGCACTTTTCAGTGTCTGCATGCTAATAAAATTTCTGATTCTTTTTTCTTCCTGAAGTGTAATTATAATGCTGCGCAGCTTGCATTTTTTGTTCTGAACCAGCCCCTTCCCCTTCTCCCCCAACCCAAGCTCCTGAATTCACCAACTTGCTAAAATATACTCCTGACTGGAATAGATGCTCTTTAAGAATTGTATATACAACAATTTAAGCATTTGAATATAAGTGGTTTAATTGTAAAGTTCTGTCCTTGATGTAAGATAGGTACATGATAGAATTCATTAGTTTTGTTTGTTTGTTTTTTTGCGGTACACAGGCCTCTCACTGTTGTGGCCTCTCCCGTTGCGGAGCACAGGCTCCAGACGCGCAGGCTCAGCGGCCATGGCTCATGAGCACAGCCGCTCCGCGGCGTGTGGGATCCTCCCGGACCAGGGCATGAACCTGTGTCCCCTGCATCGGCAGGTGGACTCTCAACCACTGCGCCACAAGGGAAGCCCGAATTCATTAGTTTTTTATCATAGATTTTCCTTATAGGGTATGTTACATCACAAACTTCTAGAAAAAAGAGCAAGATTTAAGTAAATTTAAAATAAAGACACTAAAGTTTTCTTCCTACATTCTCTTATCAACTTTTAAGATTGATTTGAGAAAGCGAGATCAAGAGTAATTGTTCTCTACATTTTGCTTATTATTATGGGAGCATTTACTATAAATTGGAAGTGTCATTTTTGAATTTCTGACTTAATCTGATAGTAATAAAACTGTCACTAGGTCTATAACCCAAGACATTTTGGAAGCAGCAAGTATTAACTCAATTTTATAAGGCATTTGGTCAGTAAGAAAATAAGGTGTAATAATCATAGACTAGAAACCCTGAATATTGAGGAAAAAGTTCATCACCAGGACACCAGATGCTTTTAATCTTTTGAAGCTTCCTGCTTTAGCAAAGTTCTGATATTTGGTAAAAATTGATCATTGTTGACTATTATGGAATCCTATTTCATCGTTTCTGCAGTGGTTTTGTAAGGGTCAGTGGGAAGTTTTTAGGAGACACATGCGTGTGGTCGGTGGCAATGGTAGCAGTCACGGGGGACATCGACAGCAGCCAGCTAACTATTAGGGAGTGTCATCCAGCCCATCACCGACTGTTAAGAGTGCGGCTTTCTCAAATTGCTTTCAGCCTATCTGGATACTTACGTGTCAGCTTATTAATAGTAAAATAGCCAACAAGCATCTCTACGTTTGCCCACTGAATGCTGCCTGTTTATTTCCATTTCCATATTTCATAGGTGATTCTCAGGTTGGTTTGGGTCTTTTTATTGGAATTATGACATCTTACCGATTTTACATTTCCTTTCAGTTTCATGATTCTTAACCCCAAAGTGCTTTTGCTTATGGGAAGGGAAAGATAAACTTGGATTGAAGACCACCAGCAACCCCAGTCTGGATCATAAAGACTCTCATAGCCATCCTAAGGGGCCCTTTATCAGCCAAGACTGGAGTGGCCTCAGCTTTAGTTCATGGCCATAGTGTCTGAAGAAATTTCCATCAGCGTAAATACACCTCGTATGGGAGCTGCCTGGAGCTATAAATATCTAACCAGTTCCCATCAGGAACACACGGAAGTTTCTGAAGCTTGTTAAGAATAAACTTAAGGGTTCTTAATTGACACATTTTATATCCATCAGTATCCTACCCTTGAGGTACAGGATTCAGTCTTACTCTGTTATTTGTTGTACTATTCTGTTATATTTCTACTTAAGTACAAAAGAATATTTAAAACACAAAGCCTTTCTCTAACAATATATTCAGATTTAAATACTATTTACTATAATGTCAATCAGGGATTTTTCAAAGCCAGATGTGAATCTGCAGGGACATATTAGGCATGATAATTAACTCCTCTTAGAACATGAGAAAAGATTCCCTGACTCTAATTTTTAATAAATATTAAAATACAAGGTAGAAGAATATGAGAAGTGAAGTGAATACCCTTGACTGGGCAAGAGAGTATGACGTTTAAAATTAAAGAAAGCATAGGAGATGATGAAGGCGTCTGGTTTATTTATGTAACCTCGGCAGGCTTCACCCAGCTGCAGATCTGCTTACAGTTGTGTGAAGGTTAGAAAAAAGGCCAAGTTGGCAAGATTTAAATTTGGTTAGATTTGAAAACAACTTGCAACTAGATATATCCTTATTTCTGATTTGACGACATGGATTAGTAGATAATTAAATTATGCTAATCAGGTACTTATGCTGGCCGTGCAGACAAAATAAACATGTCATTTCTTCTTAATGAAGTCTATATTTTGGACATTACTGTTTCAGTGTATATTTGTCATTATGAGATTTATTTTCACTTGAGGCAGTGTTCAACTTGAGTTGGAAAATTCTCAAGTTTATTTACTCACTTCATATTGATATTTAAACCAATAAACGTGAAATACATAATGATAATCTATTATCTATTATCCACTAGTATTTCTTTATGCCCTTCCTAACTGCAGAATGAATGAAACTATGATGTTGGAGGGTCTTTTTTTTTTTTTTTAAGTTTATTTTGTGACTCAAATGCTTTACTAAAGTAGGAGACTGACATTTCTTCTTTAATCTGAGATCAATATACACTTTATAAGATTGAACAAGAGGAACCTCAGTATTGATCACTCTAATTCAATGAGCTTCTATCCTCTGAAAAAAAGAGCTTTTCTTTGGGAAGGTCAAAGCAGTCTAGTGTTAAAAATCCATGTACTTTCTGTAAACTAAGATAGGCTCACACAGTATGTTCTTTAAACAGAGACAGGAAGAAATTGAAATAGGAAGATCACATTGTCAGGAGTGAATCTAGTAGTATCACCCAGATATTTTGAGGTTCTGGAGTCAGAAAGACGGTTTGTGCTCTGCTCTTACTAGGGATGATAAGCCACGTGTCTGTGAGGGGAATCTTCCCAACTGTCCTTTGTAAACAGAGATCACATGCACTACATTACTTAAGCCTCAGAAATTCACACGGCCTTCCATTATTATAAGGCTTTCGGTCACCTCTGATAGGAAACTCCTGGTGGTCCCCAGTGTAACCAGCATTAAAACGAAGACACTGTGAACAGACTCTATCTCTTATGTAAATGGCTGGTTACTATAGCTTGACTGACTCTTCTTCTTCATTCTTCGGAATAGAGAAGCATTTTCAGTGGTTTGCTTTAATGTTGAGGCTTTGTCACATTTCTGCTTCAACCCCATTCTTTTCAGATTTAAACGAGTGTGGCCTGAAGCCGCGGCCCTGCAAGCACAGGTGCATGAACACTTACGGCAGCTACAAGTGCTACTGTCTCAACGGATACATGCTTATGCCGGATGGATCCTGCTCAAGTATGTCAAGAATCTTAACAGCTTTGGGCTTGACTTCATGCTGTGCTCTGGGAGTGTGTGAAAAGTGGCCTCCTAGCCCTCCTCCTAAACAGGATGTGAGCACGTGTTTGTATGTGTGCCTAAGGAATGGAAAATCAAAATAAGAGTTGCCCACTGTAGATGTCTAACATTCTTTTGTCAGGGCTGCCAATGTTAAATTGATTCGGAAATGGTCTTTAGAACAAGACTCACAAAACGAATGTATTTTCTAACGTTTTTCCTAGCACTTTTCTGCTTGTCTTCTATCTGGGCATAGAACTATTCCATGTAGAAAAAGAACGTTGGTGACCATTTGAGGGCTGTTGTGCTCTTGGTAAGGATGGACACTAAATTATTTGCTGGTAGAGAATCCATCCAGCCTGGTGATTGAGTATAAACCGTCCATAAGTACCTCCTCACTTCATTTTTTTTTTTTTTTTTTTTTGCGGTACACGGGCCTCTCACTGTTGTGGCCTCTCCCGTTGTGGAGCACAGGCTCCGGACGCGCAGGCTCAGCGGCCACGGCTCACGGGCCCAGCCGCTCCGCGGCATGTGGGATCTTCCCGGACCGGGGCACGAACCCGTGTCCGCTGCATCGGCAGGCGGACTCTCAACCACTGCGCCGCCAGGGAAGCCCCTCACTTCATTTTTACATTTCTTTATAGTAGTCTGAAGACTAAGTTTTTTTCTTAAAAAAAAAAACCTACTTCAAATTAAAAAAAATGATTATAATAACATAAAGGTAGATTTCATCTGTGTCTTTGTAAGAAAGAAATGGATGGTGTTTCCTACTATCATTTTGATGTGTTTATAAAACAGACAATGGCCTGAAATTCTCTGCAGGCTGAACATTGAATTGAGATTGTGGTTCTATGATATCCAACAATTGATGACTTCATTTTTAATTTTACTGAACTGTCAGTTAAATTGGTTAATTATCAATCAGTTAATTATCAGTTGTCTCTCTCTAACTGGGTTGCATTTTATAAAATAAAAAAGGTTAGCTGATTTTATTTATCATTGCATATTTAGCATGGAACTTTTTGCAATAAGGTGAGTTCATGTTTATTAACCTGTGGCAGTGATGCTAGAATCCTCTAACATTGTACAACTCAGTGGGAAATCTGCTGTGCCTGGAGAAGTTTAATGGATGGTTGAGACAGTTACTTGGATGCCTTAGTTAAGACCATCACTTAACATGAGTAATCTGGAAAAATACCTCAATGCTCCAATTTCCTTGGCCACTGGAAAAGCTTCCAGATAATCTCTCTGAGATAAAGTTTTACATTTGTCTGCTATTTCTTCAAATACATTAAAGGTCTTCCCCAGATGCTAACAGAGCTGGTTCCCTTCTTAATTATCCCTGAGGGAAGAAGGTCTTTGTGTTCTTCCTCCTATTTTTGACTTTCTTTAGACTGTTGGAGAACTAAGCCCTTTTCATCTGCATTGTTGATTCAGTGTCACTGATTTCAGGACAAGTAGAAAACATAGTTATATTAGGTACAGAGTATGCCCTCTGCCTCTCTTGGACAGTCACTGTCTTTCCAGGTGCCCTGACGTGCTCCATGGCAAACTGTCAGTATGGCTGTGATGTTGTCAAAGGACAAATTCGGTGCCAGTGCCCCTCTCCTGGCCTACGGCTGGCTCCTGATGGGAGGACCTGTGTGGGTGAGTTGTAAAATCAAGCATCTCTATCAGCAGTCTCTCTAGGGTAAGGAAGAAAGTGAAATGTGATGGCAGGAAGGAAAAAGGGCAGTTACTTAACATCAGGTAATTAGCTATCCTTTAGACAATATCAGATGTCTCAGAAGGGGACCTCTATCTGTGAAAAGACCGTGGAAACTTTGTTTCCAAAAAAAAATGAGGGACAGGAGGAAGCTTCAGACAGAGGAAACCACACGTGCAAGGCATCGAAGTTTAGAGGGAGCATAATATTCAGGGAACAAGAAGAGCTCAGTATTTCTAGGACGTAAGAGGCAATGAGTATTGAAGCTGAGCTGGTAGACAGGGCTAGGCTGTATGTATTGCACTAAAGGGTTAGTTTTTTTTTTTTTTTCCCCCTGTAAATTAGGAAGGCAGTAAAAGATTGTGGTTAAGAGTCTGGACTTTGATTTTAAACCTGGCTCTGCCATAGACTTGATATGTAACCTTAGGTAAGAGGCTTCCTTTCTTGGCGCTTCAGTCTTCTCATCTTTAAAATGGGAGTAATGTCCTTGTGAGGATTGAATGAGATCATGAACGCAAAGAGCTTAGCACGGTACCTCACATGTAGTAAGCACTGAATGAATGGAGGTATTTGGGGGCTCAAGAGATATTTACTGAGTATTTTCTATATACCAGGCACTGTGCTAAGTGCTAGGATATAGAGTAATGGACAAAGCAGACAAGATTTCAGTCCTCTGGAAGAGGCAGAAAAGAAAGAAATATTCAGTAAAATTACAAACAATGCCAAGTGTTAATATGAATAACTAAGGGAGTAAAAAACAAAAAGGATCTATTTTAGAAAATAATGGTCAAGGAAAGCCCTGAAGTTAGACATGGACCATTGGCCACAGGAAGAATCAGCCAAGCTGGTGAACACGTTGCAGAGCACTGCAGTGAAAGAGAGGTTGGTCTGTTTGAGGTTCTGAAAGAAAGAAAACCATATCCTTAAGTACAGAGTATGGGGTGGGGGGTGGCTTGAGATACAGCCAGTGAGGTGGGTGAGGACTGTTTATTACAAGGTCGTCAAAGACGTGATGAGGAATGAGGAATGAATTCAGAAAGCAAGTAGAAACAGTTGAGAGTTTTGAGCATGGGAACAATCCCTTCTTATGTCTTAATAAAATCATTTGTTGACAGTTGAGTGGGAATGCTTTGGAGAGGCTAAGATTGGCAGGGAAAAGGCCAGTTTGGAGGCTCTTGGAATAGTCTATCCTGGGAGATGGTGGCTTGGGCTAGGGTAAAGGCAGTGGGTGAAGAGCAGAGTAAATGAGTTCAAAGAATTTGTGAGAGGTAGAATCAGCTGAGGTTAAGGGAAATATGGTTGTCAAGGATGACTCATGTTTCTAGTTGAAGCAACTGGGGAGGGGATACAGGTGCAGTACATGCTGAGATACGGTACAAGAGGAGGACGGCTTGGCTTGGAAGGATGAGTTGAAATTTGGAGATATGGGATTTATGTTGCCTGTCAGGGCAACCAGCTGGATAACATTTATGATGAGCCACTACGTGCGCACAACCATTTGCAGATAGTAGTGTATTTTAAAAGCTCCTCCGTCTGAACGTGCTGTTGCCCTTCCTAAGACGCATTGGCTTATGTTTCTAGACATTGATGAATGTGCTACTGGAAGAGCCTCCTGCCCTAGATACAGGCAGTGTGTCAACACTTTTGGGAGTTACATCTGCAAATGTCATAAAGGCTTCGACCTCATGTACATTGGAGGCAAATACCAATGTCACGGTAATGAACCCCAGCCCTTGCTTTGTGTTGTTTTTTCCTGTGGAGCGGAAAGGTCTCTTAATTATGGTGATGACTGGGATGTCAAGGGCAGGGGAGGGTACTGGCATTAAATTAAACAAACAGAAGTGAAACTCAAACACTAGCAGCTCTGGGCGCACACTACTTTATTTCTTCTCTTTATCTGCCAATTTTATGTGAACCTTCACATTGCAAAAAAAAAAATTTTATTTGAAACTGTGTATTTTTGGTGTCATCATATTTATCATAAAATAATCATATTTCTTTTATGTGTAATCATATTTATCTCCCAAATAAACCTCTTCTTTTCCTACTTCCTGATGCAGATATAGATGAATGCTCCCTTGGTCAGTATCAATGCAGCACCTTTGCTCGATGTTACAACGTACACGGGTCCTACAAGTGTAAATGTAAAGACGGATACCAGGGCGACGGACTGAATTGTGTTTGTGAGTCATGCTTGTCTCCCAGCTCCAAATTCCAGCAGGAAGTACAAGATTACACAAAGGCCATTACTAGGAAAGATAAGGAACAAGATTAATTATCAAACGAATATCACTTTTCATATCTAGTAATACTAGTCCGTGATTTCCACAAACAATAAAATCACTTGCTCAGTAATTTTTAAAAATTAAAGACTCAGTAATACATTCTAATCTTAAAAGCATTCAGTTCCTTGACTAAACTCTCTCAGTAGCTTCTCCTTAGCTGGTACGAAATTATAGAGCCCTCCTTGAGGATTTGATTTTAAATGTATGTTTGTCATTAACATTAGATTATAATGGTGGGATAATCTGAATATATTCTTTCCTCTGTTTTATGCCTCCAATTCTGCTCTTAAAAAATCATTTCCATATTTATTTTCTCTACGTTCAGAACTGTTTTGCTTTTTAAATTTTTATAAGCTCTATTTGTAGTATGGCTATGTATGTCAGTAGATAAACATTAAAAAAGTACCCTCCAAGATGAAAGTTTCACAAACCAAAGGCCACAATTTAGCATACATTTCATGCAACGATAGATCATTTTTTAAATGTCTGGAGTAAAATATTTACTGAAAATCATGGGGCATAAAATCATGAGGATTAAAGGAGTTTTGAAGGGTCATGTAGTTATACTCCCAGTCTGGAATATATGCTTACAAGAAGATTAAATATTAATTCCTTTCGGTGAATACAATCAAGGACAGAGTTTCCACAGGTGATCTTGGTGACCTCTGAAATTTTTTTTTAAAAAGCAATTGTATAAATTAGTAAAGGGGAAGGAAAACCAAATATAGAACAGTGAGTAGAACATTTAATGTAAATGTATTTGTGTGAATTTAATTTATATAAAGTGTGGAAGGGAAAACTATTAGTCTTCAGACAATTCTAAACATGATTTTATAATATACACATACCATGGAGACACTTAACATAGACTCTAAATATACATTTCTCATATTTTAAAATTTTAAAATATCTCTGCATTCTTCTCTCTTTCCACTTTACAAATACTTAAAACATTTTATGTTTCAGATGATACATTTCATTACAGAAAATATAATTTTTGTGTATATCCACCAAATAGATATATATGTGTATGAATATATATATGTATATATTACATATACACACACATACTAATTTTTTTTGGAAAACAGCCTGACTTAACAGTAGGGGAATATTCTCAATGTGAAAAGTAAGCCAGTTGGCATGAGGTATTTTGATGTGTTTGTTTTTTACAATTTGATATCTTACTTCTTAAGGTGAGAGGGTTGTACACTAATTTAAATACATTTACTGTTTTAGATATTCCAAAAGTCATGATTGAACCTTCAGGTCCAATTCATGTACCAAAGGAAAATGGTACCATTTCAAGGGGCGATGGAGGACACAGTAATTGGATCCCTGATGTCAGAAGTACTAGGTGGCCTCTGAAGACACCCTATGTACCTGCTGTCATTACCAGCAGGCCCACCTCTGAGCCAACAGCAAGACCTGCCCTGAAGCCAGCGCCACAGCCTGCCCCACCCACAGAACTCAGAACACCTCCACCAGCAGCAGCCCCAGGAGGACCAACCACCAGCCTGACAAGTGTAGCACCAGTTGCCACTGTGTCTCCAAGAAGGATTACAGTTGACAACAGGATACAGACAGAGCCTCAGAAACCCCGAGGAGATGTGTTCAGTGAGTCATAAACGTTACCACATTTTTTTGAGGGATTTTTTCCCAGTTTTATTGAGATGTAATTGACATACAGCACCGTATACGTTTGAGTACAGCATAGTGGTTTGGCTTATCCGTATCATGAAATGATTACCACGGTATGTTTAGTTAACATCCATCATTTCACGTAGATACAAAATAGAAGAAAAAGGAAAACACATTTTTTTTCTTTGGTATGGGAACTCTTAGGACTTACTGTCTTAACAACTTCCATATAAGTTATACAGCAGGTATAACTATAGTCGTTGTTGTATATATTGTTGTATGCTACATCCCTGGTACTAGTGTATCTTATAACTGGATTTGTACCTTTTGACCACCTTCATCCTGTTTTCCCTTCCCACCTCTAGTAACCACAAATCTGATCCCTTTTTCCATGAGTTTGTTTTCTGTTAACAGTCCACAGGTAAGTGAGGTCTTGTGCAGTATTTGCCTTTCTCTGTCCGATTTATTTCATTTAGCATTCTATCCTCAAGGTCCATCCATGTTGTCTCAGATGGCAGGATCGTCTCATTGTTACGGCTCACTAATATTACACTGTAGATGTGTTTATATATACCACAATTTCTTCATTCATCTGTCAGTGGACACTTCGGTTGTTTCCATGTCTTGGCTATTGTAAATAATGCTGTGAACGAAGAGGTGCAGATATCTCTTACGCATAGTGTTTTTATTTCCTTTGGATATATTCCCAGAACTAGGATTGCTGGATCATATGGTAGTTCTGTTTTCAGTTTTTTGTGGAACCTCCATACTGTTTTCCATAGTGGCTGCACCGGCTTAAAATCCCACCCACAGCGCATCAGGGTTCCCTTATCTCCACACCCTCACCCACTTGTTATCTCTTGTCCTTTTGGTAAACAGCCATTCTAACAGGTATGAGGTGATATCTCATTGTGGTTTTGATTTGCATTCCCTAGTAATTAATGATGCTGAGCATCTTCTCATGTATCTGCTGGCCATTTAGTATCTCTTCTTTGGACAAATGCCTGTTCAGGTCCTTTGCCCACTTTTTAACTGGATTATTGGATTTTTTGCTATTAAGTTGTATGAGTTCCCTATGTATTTTAGATGTTAACCCCTTGCCGGATACATGATTGGCAAACATTTTTTCCCATTCCATAGGTTTTCTTTTCGTTTTGTTGATGGTTTCTTTTGCTGTGCAGAAGCTTTTTAGTTTGATGTCATCCCACTTATTATTTTATTGCTTGTACTTTAGGTGTCATATCAAAAAATCATTGCCAAGACCCATGTCAAGGAGCTTTCTTCCTACGTTTTCTTTTAGGAGTTTTGTGGTTCCAGGTCTTATGTTCAAGTCTTTAATTCATTTCGAGCTAATTTTTGTGCGTGGTGTAAGTTTAGGGTCTAGATTCATTCTTTTGCATGTGGCTATCCAATTTTTCCAGCACCATGTATGAAGAGACTGAATTTTCTCCCTTGAGTATTCTTGGCTCCCTTGTCAAATATTATTTGACCGCATGCGCTTAGGTTTATTTCTGGGCTCTTGATTTTGTTCCATTGGTCTATGTGTCTGTTTTTATGCCAGTACAATACTCTTTGATGACTATATCTTTTTAGTATAGCTTGAAATCAGGAAGTGTGATGCCTACCACTTTGTTCTTCTTTCTCGGGATTGCTTTGGCTATTTGAGGTCTTTTGTGTTAGCACATTTTTAATAAGCTTTTTATGATGGCATTTCAACCACAGGCCATGGCTTGAATAAGAATAAAACTCATAGATACAAAGTGTAAGTTATATATCCCTATTGTGAAATATTGTAAAGAGCTATATAGAAGCCAGTCAGTTGGGCAAATAAGAATGTGAATAGAAATGGAAGGAGTATCACAAAGTTATATAGTAGATTACAGCTTCTATCCAGTATGAGAATTCTAACATATTCATATTTACTTGAAAACTCTCAGAGATGGGGAGCTTAATATAGCACGTGCCATGTAACTTTTAATCTAAGTGTTCATTCATTCAATCAGTAAACATTTTTAGTGTGTTTTAGAATGCCAGGCCCTATATTAGGCATTGGGCTTACAAAGGTAAATCAGAAAAGCTTATAGTCTGGTGGAAAAGACAGTTGCCCCGAAGATAACTGTGGTACTGTGTTAGTGGGAGAGATTTGTGTGGGACATTATGGGGGTAGAGAGAAAGGGTGCCTAACCCATCTTTGGCCAGGGACAGTTTGGGGAGTGGGGAGGCTTCTTGAGTGAAATGGGGCAAAGGGGATGAAAAAAGGGAGGCATTTTAGTTCACGGGGACCACACAACAGAGGCACAAGTGTAGGAAGCAGCACAGCATGTGCAATAAACTGCCAACAAACTGGCAGTTTGAGCCAAGGCTTGATGAGAAAAACTGGACAGCTACCCCTTGTATTTACTGTAAGCTGGTGGTTAAATCTAAACTGGAGCTAGGTTGGATTTAAAGATTCCAGATTTTTCATGGGTGACTGGGTACCACCAATGGTGATAGAGGCTATAGGTAAAGGAGAAGTTTTGAAGGAGGAAGAGGTTGTTCCCTTATTACCAGAACAAAATTTGTAATTTTTCAACCTCTTTCTGAGCCTTTTAATGTGTTCTCTTTTTAAAAGTTTCTCTTGCTTCCCATTATTCCTCTCTATACCAACACACATACGAATTAAAAATAACATTGAAGGGCTTCCCTGGTGGTGCAGTGGTTGAGAGTCCGCCTGCTGATGCAGGGAACACGGGTTCGTGCCCCGGTCCGGGAGGATCCCACATGCCGCGGAGCAGCTGGGCCCGTGAGCCATGGCCGCTGAGCCTGCGCGTCCGGAGCCTGTGCTCCGCAACGGGAGAGGCCACAACAGGGAGAGGCCCGCGTACCGCAAAAATAAATAAATAAATAAATAACATTGAAGTTCACCAACAGAATTTAGCAGGATGAAACTGGGGAGACACGGAGTTCCGATGATGTTTGAGAGCACTTGTTCTAAGAGAGTGTGATCTTAAAGACATGCCCTGGGAAAGAAGTACCTTGATTCCATGCCAAGGCTGTTGCATGCCACAGATAGCATTGCTGCCTCTGGATAGTCCCGCCAAAAATTAAATTCCGTCCTCATTTCATCTTCAGCCCTAGCTGCTGGTTAATGTCAGCATGGATGAGGATTATTTTGGACACTTCTTAATTTGCTGTCTGGAGACTTTAGCATATATTCCAAATAAGAGAGTGGTTCTGTTCTTAATTCAGAACAAATAACTAGTATTTATTCATTGTGAAAACAGAAAGGAACCTTAGCACTATTTTAGTTCAACACCATTTATTCATTGACTATTTTCTTCATTTCTGGCATAATAATTTCTTAAGCCATCCTTATTCTCCACTGGTCTGAGAGTAGACTTTGGCTCTCCTCATTCCATGAATTTTCAGGTGATGTTAATTACAGCCACTGTTGAGTAGTCTCCAAATAGCCCCATACTTCAGTTGTGTTTTTCTTTACATTGAAAGATATATATATGTTTAATGGAAGAGGTTGTTAAACAGAACTTTCCTCTGTGATGTGTGTGTGTGTGTGTGTGTGTGTGTGTGTGTGTGTGTAGGTATGTATTGTCCCCCAAGAAAAGACTATAAAGATATTCTAAAAGGAAATCAAGGAAGAAAAACAATTATAGCACAAGTACATCTCTAGCCCAGACTTCTCCCCAAACTCTAGACTTGTATATCACCTGCCTGTTTAACTGCTCTAGTTGGATGAAGATACATGTCTCAAGCTCAACTTGTCTAATCATTCCTGATCGTCACCCCAAAGACATTCTACCCACAGCTTTTCCCGCCCCAGGAGATAGCACCTCCATCCTACCAATTGCTAAGGCCAAAAAACTTGGCGTCATTTTAAATTACTTTTTATACCCACATTGAAGCTGTATGGAAATCCTGTCAGCCCTGGCTTCAAATTATATCTGAAGTGCGCCTACTGTTCACCATCGCCAGGGCTACCAGTCTGGCCCAGGCCATACTTCCCCCTGGTGTACAGGTCCAAAATCCTTTTTCCAGATACGTAATAGAGCATTTTTTTAGATTTTAGAAAAGGAATAAGGCGCATTTGCTGTATAGCACACACTGAAGCATATTAATGTTTCTACAGGGAAACATGAATATTTACACTAATTTGGCTACTAAAGCCATTTAAGTTAGGTTAAGTGAAGGTTAGATTTGCCACCTAATGAGTTTATGGAAGCAGCTTTTGGATTTGAGAATGACGGGTGAGGACCCGCGGATCTGTACTGAGGTAGCCTTTCAGCCGGTCTGCCTGCTCCCACCCTTGTCCCTCTGCTGTGTCTCCTCAACCCAGCAGCCAGAGTCATCTTTTAAAACTTAAATGAGATGTCATTGTTCAAAGCTCTGCATTAGCACCCACTTCCTTCAGTGAGAACAGAAGCCCTCCCGGCGGCTTCCAAAGTCCTCAGATCACATCTCCTAGCACTCTTCCCCTCATTCACTTGACTCCAGCCTCCTCGCTGTTCCTCCAGCTTCTCCCATCTTAGGATTTTTGCTCCAGCCCTTCCCTCTTTCTGGAACACTCTTCCTCCAGCTATCAGCTTGTCTCACCTCTTCATGCACATCTCAACTTGCCAGTGAGGCCACTCTGACGCCCCCTTCAATACTGTGACCTCTGCAGCCACTGCCAGCACACCTGATCTCACAACTCTCTACTGTTTTTAAAAATAGCATTTATCACCTTCTATATAGTATCTTGTTTACTTATTTATAATGTCTATTTTTGTCTCTTCTGACTAGAATATAAGCTTTTTGAGGGGCAGGGGTCTTTCTCGGTTTTGCTCATTGGTATATCTCAAGAACCTAGAATAGTGCCTGGCACATAATCAGCAATTGAATACTATTTGTGGGACATAGAAATGAATGATTAGATCAATCACTCTTGACATTTTAAAATAAAAATTATCATCATGTAATCTATTTCCATACACAAGTTAGTT